AGTGTATTTTAAGATTAAGATTAACATAATATAATGATCTTGTCTAACATGAGTTAACAATGCAAGTTGTGCATTGATGAGTTAGATATATTAACGATGATATTAAGTTAGTAAAATATTTAATTTTGCTTTGAATTACTCAAAATATTTTGAATTATCTATAGGTAAGATTTCTTTAAACAAAATATTTTACCTTCACATAATAGTAATGTTCGTATGCAAGTATACACGTAAAAGATTTTAAAATATATTTCTAAAATAAGGATTGTTTTTTATTACTAAAAATTTCTTAATTTAATTATTTGAATTTAAAGGATATGATAGTATAAAATAAGGATTTAAATATAAAACTCAATTAAAAAGAAATTAAATAACACAACCTCTAACAATAAATTTAATCAAAAAAAATCTAGGCCGTATGATTTTATCTTTACATTTTTCTATGTTAACTTTTAAATTAATTTTAATTTTGATTTTTTTATGATTGTCAACTACTCATACTAAAACTATTAGCATCCAATGATCATGTAATGTTAACAATCTTTTCTCTAAATCATCACCTCCAATAATCATGCAAGATACGTAAAAGGGAGAAAAAATATAGAGTATATATACTGCTAATTTAATAACTATCGAAAGAAAAGATCTAAGCTTGGTCTACCTAATTCTTTATAGATCTATTAATTATATGTTATGATCGCCTATAATATAATTAATTATAGTATATTTAAGAATTGTCAATTCTAATATACAAATATAACGCACTAAGATAAACACTAATTAAGAACAGAAACACAAAATTATCATGAATTATAAAAATTCTATAGAGTTATACAAAGAATCTACCATAGCCCTAACTATGAATTTAGCTAGACATAATATAAAAAAAAATCAAAAAATATTAAACAAATACATAGTTATTTGAAAAGTAAATGCAAATTAAAAAAGTTTCTAATGAAGAAGAAATGAAGAGAGCTTTTGATCCTAAGATGTGTTCTTGTAGTCATCACTGACTAGCCAACACCAATATTGAAGATATGAAAAGAGATGTGAGATATGAGAGGTATCAAAAGCATGTATAAAGTGTATGCTCAAGTTGCAACCTCTTGGGTCTCTTAATAGAGTTTGAAAACTCTAAAATTGCTTCAAAGTTAGACTTTTCATAGGTAAGAATGACCATGCTAGGCAATATGCATGACTGTGCTAGGCAATATGCATGACTATTTATATGGTCAAAGCAAACTTGTGCTGACTGCTAGGGTATAGGCGTGCTGACTGTTGTGAAGCCTAATTTTTCAACCAATTTAAGTCCAAAATGCACCCAAAACCTAAATATGACTTTCTCACATTAATTTGTACAATAATCACAAAATCTAGTGTAAAAACCTAATAAAATAATGTCCACTCATAAATATATAAGTTATAAAAACATGTTAAAATACAAACTTATCAAATAGTGATTTGTTGATGATGATCATGTGATGGAATGAGTTTTGTCTTATGTAATTGTGGTGTTAGTATTTTTGCTTTGATTGCATATGCACACAACAATGATGATATTGACTTTTGTAGATTCCACTTTTGGATGACAATGGTTATAGAGCACACTTACATGGTATTTTGGTTTAAGTTAGGGTAGCTTCAAATGGAAGAACAAAATATGGCATGATGGTGTGGTGCAAAGTGCTTTATTTTAATGTGGAGGAGAGTTTGAAATAATGATGCAAAACAATCTTGATATGACGACGATGATAATCATTTGTAGTAATGAATAAAGTCAAAGTCCATGTGAGATCTGAAATTTGGAGTGACAAACTTGATTAACAATGATGGTTCTTAGTGAATTTGGTAGATATTTACTAAGCAAATTTTGTACAGATATTATGTTAAGCATATGTGACTAATATGCAATGAAGATACAAGAAGATCTAAAATGACATTAAACAATCTATCAATATAAAATTAATTTTATGATAAATTGAGAATATGAAAGTGAATGTTAAAATTTTAATTCTGAAAATCATGAATTGTATACATAGGGGTTTACAAAATATCCTAAAGATCTAAAATAATATTTAACATTCTATTAATTCAAAATTTATTTTTTATTATAAATTAAAACTACATAATGGATGTAAAGTTTTTATTTCTCAAAATTATCCCCTAAACACGTTATTGATAGTACTATACTAGATTGACTAAAATCCTTTCGTACACAATTCCTCGATGCCAATCTCACACTTGGTTTGATTCTCTTTATTGATGTTCCTTCGTCAACCTATTATGTAACATGATCTTATTATAAATTTCTTTCTTGATTGAAACAATCATGCAAGAGATCTACTACATCAATCACGTGTTTAAGGAGTTGGACAGAGAGAATATAGGACGACACCATGTGATATTATCGTCTTGCTACATACAAGATTTTATATGTAAAAAAAATAGCTATCAATATAATTTTATAAAGAACTAAACTACCAAGTTTTGAAAGTTCAAAGAACAACTTTGCAAAGTTTTATGGAGGATTAAATCATAAATATATCAAAATTAATATTATTAAGTAAAAATAAAAGATATAAATCGTTAATGTTTTTTAAAATATATCAATAGAAGATTAAATCATAAATATATAAAAATTAGTCTTATCAAGTAAAAATAAATGATATAAATCATTAATTTTTTTAAAAAATATATCAAACAGCTTAAACATGTTTATTTATACACTACTTAATTGCTTATTCATTTTAGCTTTAATCTAAAATAATATATGTTATATATTTTTAATTATAACCAATTTAATTTTTAATTATTTATTTTATTAATTTTATTTTAAATTTTATAAATAAAAATTACTACTTATTTTTTTAATACTTTATATAAATTGTTAGAATTTTCATAAATACTTATATTTATAACATTTTTTTATCACTTTGTAATTATAAAATTAAATTAAATTATTTTTTTAAAATTATTATTAAAAATTTTTTATATCATGTTAAAAAATTATTTTTAATTATTAAATATATATTATTTTAAAATAAAATATTTATGTACTTGACCTACTATTAACTATTATAAGGACAAATGTTCTAGCTCTTGAATGTAAGCACATTCTCTTTTATATCTGTTCGGATATAGATTTACTCTAATTCTCATAAGATTTAATTTCGTTTAAATAAAAATTAAATTATTTTAAAAAAATTATAAGAGGAGAAAGAACAAGTAAGAGAAGACAAAGAGGAAGTAAAAAGGAATAGGAAAATAGAAAACGAGGAGTTAAGAAAAATTTATTTATTTTACTTAAATAAAAATAGAACTATTTCCATCTTAAATGGATTTATTTCTATATTCATTTTCTTTGCAATGTATGATTTAATAAGGATCAAAATATATATTAAATTTAAAATAATTTTATTATTTTGATTAGTGTTACAACTCAAATATAATAAAATAATTTAAATTGAAATTTTTTTATTTAAATTTACAATTAAAAGTCGTTTGCACAGCAAAATTTTCAGCCGCTACACAGTCAACAATTTCATAGACTTAATAGTGGATGGTTTAGCTACATGAAAGTTACCGTCAATTTAAATCACCAATTTCTGTATCAACGGTTTTGTCACAAACAGTGCATGTAACCTTGTCAACGCTGTTTTCGTTCTTCAATCAAATAGTGACTGACAACTATATTCATTTTTGTCTACTTAATGATTAGCAAGTGCTTGCGCCTAACAGTGTGTTATATACATATATATAGTTAAATACTAAAATATGAAATTGTGAGACGGAAATACGAAAAATTTCTAAAATTATCATTAATATTTCTTGTGCTGAGAATTTTTTGCGGTTTACATTTTTTATTATTTTAAAAAAATTATCATCAACGATTTTTAATTTTTAAAATTTTATTTTTTAAAAATTTTCATTAATTATTACATCTCTTAATTTTCATATTTGTTGATCTTGAATGGGGATGTGGAGGTCGTGGCACCCTCTCATTTGGGGATGCAGGCGCAGAATTTTACAGCTACAAAAGCAACAACGGGTTGCCTTCGGTCAAAACCATAGTTTGAGGCGCGTAACTAACTTCAGTCAAACAAGTTCCATAAATGATTTTACTTCAGAGGGTAAACGAGATTGAAAAAAAGTATTTAAAATTTTAAGTTTAATTTATTAAAAATATTTTAATTTAATTTATTTATTTAAACAAAGTAAATTTAACATTTAATTTATTATTATTTTTATGTAACTTATTTAGAGTTAAAAATTGTATTTTTTATATTTTTGTGAAATTTAATTTTAATCTTTTATTTCAGTCAAATTTTTTATAAAATTAACACACTGGTCTTTTTCGTTATTTTTATAAAATTAATATATTTAATTTTTTCAAATGTAGTAAAAATTTTTGTCATACATAAATCATTCTTAATATTTTATCGACTATAGCTATAATTTTTTAATTATTTTATATATTTATAAAATTATTAAAATTTATATTTTAATAAATATATAATTTCTAACTTAAATATATAAATTTTTAAATTTTTAAAAGTGTATGATTTCTTATTTACTGTCTTTTTTTAGAATCTATTAAAAGTATTTGTTTAATTACACTTAATTTCTATAATTTACATTATTTTTAGTATTTTAATTCTTACATGAATATTTTGTTACATTTTAACTCCTCCTTTTATAATATAAGTAATAGTAGAAATTATATATATATATATATGTATATTATTGTATAATAATAAACAAAATTATGATATTAGAAATATATATGATAAACAAAAATTGTAATTATTAACTAACGAAGGTCGGTCGAATAGTAAGTTAAATTTTAGATTAGAACATATGAGAAATTAAGAAAAAAATTGTAATTATTTAAGTATATAATCTATTTTGTTTGTACTTTTTTTTAATCACTCAGGAAAAATTAAAAAAAAATAAAATTGATAATTGATGGCAAGGAGGCACCACTTGTGCTTGCAATTTCTGCAAATTGGCATCCCCGCGACACTTATTAAGATCACCTTGGGCTGCGTCTGATAAACAAAGTAAAAAAGTGACAGCGAGAAGTGAATATTCATTCAAGGAAGAGCAATACAAACACAAATCATAGAAGAGAGAAACTCTGAGAGGGAGATACCGAGCAGATGGTACTATAAAACAGAGAGCATCTCGCACAGAAAGGGGAGATTCATTGAGAAGCAGAGAATTCAGAAAGAGTATCAGAAGCTGTGAAGAAATTTTAAGAAGAAGAGAGGTGGTGAACCAACAAACTCCAAGTAACCTTTACTTCATTTTTATGCTATGAACTACTTGGGTTGTATAACTGAGTTTTGTGTTATCTTATGTACCTCTTATACTTTGTCTTTGTTATTCAACTCATTCATAAGCAAAACCATTTTCACACACACTCAGAGGCATAAAAATACCATACCACCTTTCAAACAGCAAAAATATCCAATCAGACCCAGTCACCATACCATGATTTCCCTCCACACCCGCAAGCACAGTGATTTATGCATCAAAACCCCCAAGCCCCGATATGTCTTTGACGAGGATGTGGATTTTCTCTAGTTGTGGCAGTAATTATACATCCAATTTTATTTTTATTTAAACAAAAATACAGAATATAACTTAAATTTTTTTAGTTTAAACAAATTTTACACAAACGAATAATTTTAGCTTAAGTAAAAATAAAATTGGATGTTCAGTTTTCGTCACAACTAAAGAAAATTTGTAATCTATGTTTCCTCGTGTTTTTTTTTTATTAACTTTAATAAAACATAAGAAACCAAAAAAAGAATAAGAAAAGTAAACACCCAATTGAATTCTCTAGAAATTTTTCTTTGACCTAATTCTGTGCTGAAAATAATGAAGTCGCTTAAAATTAATTACAAGCAAATGACGTTTTAGTCTTTCTGTTCACCTAATGTAACAACTAAAGTATTTTATCTTTTAACTTTTTAAAAACTAAAATAAATACTACCTGTTCAGAGGGGAAAGTGTTTTCCTGTTTTTTTGTAGGATTAATTTGAATATTTAAAAAATAAAAAATATCATATCATATGGAATTTAACTCACGGAACCATTACAAGAAGTTACAATATTCTACAATAAATTTATATAACATTTTTATAATAATAAATTCTCTTTTTCTTTTCATCGTATCATCCATTTTGTTATTCTTTTCTTTCACTTTTTTATTTATTTGTACTTTATAAAAGAAGTACAGAATTATTGTACAAATAACATTTTTCTTAACAAAATATTAACTGTTATTTATATCAATTTTTAATATTATTTGATTTTTAACTTATTATATTCATTCACTGACAACAAGGACAATTTTTTTAACAGTTTCACGCCAAATAATTTCATACCATTTTGGAAAGCTGTAAAATAAACATAAGAAAACGTGTATCGTTTTTTCTTTTTTTGGCCAGCAGACGTCGTGTATCTAAATCAAGTAGGAATTGGATTTTCTTTCTTTCTTTTGCCTTTTTCTGGTATTGTTTTGGACCAACTTAGTTTGGTGGCGAATTCAATAACGGATGGGCTTAGGTCCAGTTTTTAAATCAATGGCAAAACTAAATTCTGAAGTTCTATTTTATTTTTTTTATTTAACAATTTAAATTTTTCGTTTTTCCATCTAACATTTTAAAGAAGTAAAACTTCCATTAGTCTTTTATGTCTCGGTAAAAGAAGGAGTGGTAATTTAATGTCATCTAGAAATTATAATATGAAAGGCCAGAAAATGTATCAGGGGTGAAGATTTTATATACTAGCTGCAGGGAAGTTGGGTGCATTAGATTCTTTGTTCATGACATGGAGTCCACGGTGGAAGCTTTGGAAAAAGATCTAAAGAATGTTAGAAAGTACTATGGGACTGGAAAAACGAAGGAAGCATCATGGAGACAATCACAGCTTAAAGGGTTGCGTAATTTTCTCGTGGAAAAAGAGGAAGAAATCTTGAAGGCCCTCAAGAAGGATTTGGGGAAGCATTATGTAGAGGCTTTCAGAGATGAGGTGTTGCCAAGATTCTTTCTTGTAATTAGCAAATAGTACAAATGTTTAATGTCATTTCTTTATTAATCAATAATTACTTGCAGGTGGGAGCATTAATGAAGACCTTAAATTTGGCAACCAAGTCTTTGAAAAATTGGATGGCGGCCAAAGAGGTGAGGTTATGTTACATTGTTACTTGCCATCAAAGATCTTGTGTACATTTTGATGCTAAAATAAGAAAAAATTATTGTTGAGGTTCAGAATACATGTTACATCTTAATTAATTAAATAGATGACTGGTGCATAAGATTTTTCCACGGAAGAATTCCAGAACCAATTTTAAACGTCTGTCACAGGCTAAACTTCCACGAATAGCACTGCTTTCCAGTGCAGAGATTGTTCCTGAGCCACTTGGTCTCGTTCTCATAATCTCATCATGGAATTTTCCTTTTGGTAAGTTAATTTCATAGTAACCTACTTTTATAAAATTCTATAAACTCTTTCAAGTGCACCCTTAGTACAAAGGATATCTTCAATACCTATTCTAAATTAACAAGTTAAGGTTTCATAAAATAGGACTGTCCTTAGAGCCACTAATAGGAGCAGTAGCTGCTGGAAACACACTAGTTCTAAAGCCTTCAGAGATGTCCCCTGCTTGCTCTTCTCTTCTAGCCACTGTCCTTCCAACTTACTTGGACAACAATGCCATTAGGATCATCCAAGGTGGACCTGAAATGGGCGAGCTACTCCTACAACAAAGATGGGACAAGATCTTCTTCACAGGTAAACCTTTCTCAACTATATATTCGGTTTCATCATCATCATCATCATCTTTATTAACTTTTGTCCTTACCCTTATGTCATTTTCATAATTCATAATCATTGATGATTTATTTTAACTAATGATCCAAAAACAGGAAGTGCACGGGTGGGGCGAATTGTTATGTCTGCAGCAGCGGTGCATTTGACACCTGTGACTTTGGAGTTGGGTGGAAAGTGCCCGGCATTGATGGATTCCCTTTCCTCTTCCTGGGACAGAGAGGTGTGGTTTTCAAAAGTTCTCTTAAAAATTGATCAAAACAATTGAATGTTGCTTTAAAAGAATTAAACAAAAGCTGAAAGGAAAAAGAAAAAGGACTCAACCAAAACAGAGGACAAGAAGAAAAAATAAAAGTAAATGGTCTTCAGTGTAATGGTTGAGAAATTAAAAGTAGAAAGCTTTTATTAGAAAAATATTATTAATGCACCATTTTCTTTGATTTTCAATACACTTTTTTAGTGATTTTTTAATTCTTTATTTAATATTGTTAGGATACCGGTTGGCGAGGCCAAAATAAAAAAGAAAGTTTTTATTTTATTTTTTTCACTAAGTTGATTAAATATAAACTTGTAGCACAATAACAAATATTTTATTACCGGATGTTCCTTTGGTGGAACAAGGTGGCTGTGAAACGAATTTTGGTGGCAAAATATGGGGCTTGTGCAGGGCAAGCATGCATAGCAATCGATTATGTTCTTGTAGAAAAGAGTTTCAGTTCTACGTTGGTAAGAATTTTCGAACTTTTTATAATGCTGCTATTTGTTACTTTGATCTTGAAGCATAACCTCTCTTTTGTTCTTTAGGTGAACTTAATGAAGGTCGGGATTAAGAAAATGTTCGGAGAAAACCCCAAAGCATCCAACATAATTGCAAGGATAGTCAATGATAAACATTTCTCAAGACTTAGGAATCTTCTCTCTGATCCAAAGGTCAAAGAATCAGTGGTTTTTGGGGGTTCAATGGACGAAAAAGACTTGTAAGCAGTAATATATTTTTTTAATGGAAAAAAAAACTTGGTTACAATTTTTAAAACACTTTGATGGTGGTTATTACTTAAATTAGAATTTTATTTTAACGATACATGATAACATAATTTATAATAATATTAAATACTAATTTATTATAAAAAGGAAATTTTAATTTTAATTAAAATATCTAAAGAATTATACCTAACTTTTGTTTTTTACATATAGCATATGAATATGATCCGGTAAAGTTCATTTCCCAGCGTAATAAGACAAAACGATTTTCTGTTGACATGATTATTCTCTAACAAAAATCTTAATTTGCAGATTTATCGAACCAACAATATTACTGGATCCACCTCTTGAATCAGCAATAATGGCAGAGGAAATTTTTGGCCCCGTGCTTCCTATTATCACGGTAAGATACATACCAATTTTTTTGTTAAGTCCTTTCTGATTAATGGTATTTGAAGTTGGCAAGTGGTTTCACTTAGCCTTACCACATCATAAGTGAAGTTTAATTTCTATTTGCCTGACTTTTGTAGCTGGACAAGTTTGAAGACAGTATTGAATTCATAAACTCAAGACCTAAACCACTGGCAATCTATGCCTTCACAAAAAACCAAGCTTTGCAGAGAAGAATGCTATCTGAAACATCATCTGGAAGTCTTATATTCAACGATGCAATACTACAAGTATTAACCCACTGTTCCTCTCTTTCTTTGCCTTCTTTAATTAAAAATTAAGTATATTTTTTATTTTTATAAATTAATAGATTTTAACTTTATTCCCTAATTAATTTGTTTTTTAGTCAGTCTCTCGTCATGGACTAAAACACAATTTTATAATTTGTAAGGACTTTTAAAAAAAAAATCAGAGACAAAATTTAAAATCTGTCAGTTTTATAAGGATTAAAAATATACTTGACCCTTTAATTTAATCATTAAGAGCATCCTTGTTAGCAACAATAATAGTCGGCAAGATGGGGGTATGAAAATTGGTTCTTTGGTTGATAGAAATTATGTTTCCATTTTTCAATCTTACTAATCAGAAGGTTGTTTTGTGTTTATAAGATAACTAATTTGTATTTTGTGTAGTACATAGCGGATACCCTACCATTTGGAGGAGTTGGTGAATGTGGATTTGGCAAGTACCATGGAAAGTTCTCCTTTGATGCGTTCAGTCACTATAAGGCTGTGGCTAGAAGAAGTTTCTTGACTGATTTTTGGTTCAGGTTTCCTCCATGGACTCTTGACAAGTTCCAACTACTTGAGGTAGCTTACAATTTAGACTATCTTGGAATAGTTCTAGTTCTGCTCGGCTTAAAGAGATCAAAACGGTCATTATTTCAGGCTTGTAATTGATGGGCACTAGTTTCTTTCACTTATCTTTTTCTAGCAAGCATCTAATAAGGATAGGTTATTCCTAGCTACTTTGTATTTCTGGGCATAGATACTTAAATAAGCGTTTTCTCTCTGGTTCTGTATGTCTTTTATGTTTCTTTGGTCTTGGGTAAGGCAATATTTGGATGAAGGATATTTGGTTCTACTTTTTTTATTATTATTAAACTTTATAAAAATAAGGTGAAATTACAAAAGGAAAAAGAGATTATGTAGATTAACACTTTCTTTCATATTAAATATAAGATTTTCTTAAGGGGAATTGTCATAGTTCCTTTTGTAAGATCCTTTATATATTATTTCTTATATTAATTATTTGTTTATGACACTATTCTTTGTCACAACTCCTTTTTATAAGAGACGGGAAACATTATTTCTACACCACTTATTTATTTAAAATAGATAAATAATAAAGAATATAAGTATAAAATTCACTTTTGATTCAAAATAAAGAAAGTTCATTACAACAAATATCTAACAGAACAACATAATATTATATTTAGTTCATAATACTCAAAATATACAAAATTTATACTACATAACTCTCTATACGAGGTCTCAAAATACAAGAAAAAGTACTTTAATGCAAAATTACTCAATTTGAGCCTTCTAACATGTTTTCACTGGTCCCTTAGTCTGTGAAGTAGATGCAACACCTGCTATATCTACTCATGTTCCACCGTACGATCATTGGAGTACACACGCACACAACAACATAAACAGAAATGTAAGGGTGAACTTACAAAAGAAAAATAATATATATAAAGCAACAGTTCAATGCATTCTCAACTCATCAATGTACAACATGAAAATGGTTCCAACTGGTTTTACAGCCTAAGTAATCCAGAAGGAACTGAGTCGGTCTGGGAGCGACCTATTCCAGTATCTAGATTCAAATAGCACAACTCAGTAGGCTCTATCGTTACACGTCTACCCACCTAAACGTGTAACTTGACTCTATAATGAAACAAGACATATATCTCAGTATGATGCAATACAGACAAAATCATATTCTCAACAGCTTAGCTAAAATAATGTATAATATTTTAGCTAAATCTTAGTATTTTAAATCAATTAATAATAGTTATGACATAGAAAATAGCTTTTATCCAAGAGATCTGACAAAATCATTTCAAAACTTCTTGTAATAGCATACTAAATCATTTTAAACATCGTTTAATAGTTGAAGTAAGCTCTCTTTACCTTATAACAGCGATTTACACCATATCTACTAAATATTACTTGTTTTAAGGTAAGATCCACCGAAGATTTAGCTCTACAATGAAGTTTTTCCTAAGATATCATCAACTATTTATAAGAAAGAGAAGAAGAAGAGAAACGAACGATAAATCTAACTTCAAACTTATAGAAACTTACTTCAGATTAGAACAAATGTAAAATCTCAGAATTAGTAAGAAATCTAAGTTTAGGAGGGCTTAACATGAGAAAAAATGGTGGTACATGGCCTTAGGTCTCTCTAGAACCTTTGAAAAGTGTAAAAAAATAAAAATTTCGTGTAAGGCCCTCCTATTTATAGACAAAATTTTGTTTTTTTAATATTTTTTTACTATTTACGCCAACTTTACTGTTTATCTTTTTTTTTAAAAAAATAATTTTAAACTTTATCTAAATTTATTCTAATACTAAATAATCATTCAATTAACATTTAACAAGTACAAAATATTACAGATCACTCAATAATAAATTACAAGCCTAACACTCTTAATAGAGATTAAAAAATTAATTATGCAAAAGAGTATAAGATAGTAAATTATAATAATTTTAAGGAAAAATTTGAAAAATTGATTTAAATTATTAACAAATTTAATGTCATTAATAAAATTAATAACATTTATTAATTTTATAAAATAGTTCAAAAAGTTTATATTTAACATCAAGGGACATTATATACAATAAGATTCACATAAGAAATGCGCCACATGTGAATGATTAATAAAATACAAGAAAATGACATAATGATACAAGCTTCACACACAGAATGAAAGAAAAAAAAAAGAAACTCCTTATTCTTTAACATCTCATGGTGTAACTGCATTGCATACTTAACAACTACCCTATACAATGCATAATTATTTTATTTTAGTATATATATATATATATATATATTAAATATTAAATAATTATAGATTTTTAAATATTTTTCTAAATAAATATATATAATAAAATTATTTGAAATATTAATTTTATTTATTATTTTAATTTAACTCTAAAATTTAACTAGAAATAATATGTATTATAATAATAAAAAAATAAAATAATAAAAATAATGTATTACGTATTATGAATTTTATATATAAATAGAAAAGTTAAAAACTTATATAACATAATAAAAAAAATTATAAATATAAACATAGATATTCAACAAAAAAATTAAAAGTTTATATAATAAGATAATAAGAAAAATTTTATAAATATAAACAAAATAATTAATAGAATATTTTAAATTTTATATAAGATAATAAGAAAAAGTTAAATAAAAATTTGTAAAATTAATAAAAAAATAAGAAAAAAAATAAAATATTACATTAAGAAGTGTAATTCACACATTATTTTGAGACAATTTTAATTTTAAAAAATATATGGAATAAACTGTAAAAGAGAATTGTAACTTGTGGTATTAGGTCTTTTTTTATTATCTTATGCGTTTAAAGATAAAAATAATAAAAGTGAAATAAAATGTTATGAGTTCAAATTTATGATCGATGGATGCTAGAACTATAACATAAAAGTTATTAATGTGTCTTCTCCCAACTGTTCTACTTGTCTAGTTTCTAATAAGTATTTCCACTCACGTATGATAGAGGCAAAGTTATAAAATCTATCGTCATCATGGTAACAAATAAAGAAAGGGTTATGCACAATAGTGTTGGGCTAATCCTCCGTATTTTAACACTCCATAGTTATATCTTGAGTCACAATATTTCCTTTGGTTGCAATTGTGATACCATGATTAACCAAATTTATTGATTTACTAATTGTCCCATCATGAGGCAAATTCCTAAAAGCTTGTTGAAGTAATAAAGCCAATGATGATGATGTGTTTCTTAATCTTATTGTTGCTCTTTGTGTTGTGTGAGTTAGATTTTCTTCTCTTGCCTTCTTTAGTGTTTAGTGCCCACCAAGTTATTTCTCATTAGGTTCAAATTTCTCTTTGCTTTGTAACGTCATGTTGCACTTGTTTAACATCAAGTTCACTCACTACTCACTTCTTTTGACTTGTGACCAAAATCTTACCATAGCAACCATATGTTGAGCAAATAATGTATAAATTTTATATTTAACATTATTTGAATATCCATTCAAGCCATTTGTTCCTACAACTGGTTGAGTCAACATCAACACAAACCTTAGCACATTTGCCTTGTTTGATTAATCACTTTGATATTCACTTTTTTGAGCACATCAATGGTTGATGTAAAATAATTAAATTAGACTTTCATTCTAATAGACAAGATTTAGTTTGATGAATTTCATTTGCATCAATATTTTATCGACTTTCACTATGGGGGATGCAAATTTTGGAAAACATGTTTGCATTACATAATAGTGGTAAAAAAAAAAAAACTTCCACAGTCCCTTTCTATCTATTAGAAATAATAATTAAAAATAAAATGTTAAATGAGTTACAAAGATGAAAAGTTGTGAATAAATTTGTGTTAGTGTGAGTTAAAGAACATAATTCTTTAGTTAAGGGCAATAATTCTTTTGTTTGTAACCACTTGACATTTATAGAACAATTATTCTTCAATGTAAGTTAAAGGTCATAATATCATTATTATAAACAATGAATTATACTCATGTATTTGGTGTGACAAAATAATAAAATCCTTCTATTATTATAATTTTTCTCTTTTTACTCTAACAAAGCGGTATCAAGAGCTTAGTTCGATCTTGAGAGTTGAGAAAAACATCTTGAGAGTTGAAAGATGACAAATAATGGCCTAAATATGTTTCAATTTCCACGTCTCACTAGAGAAAATTATGATAATTGATGTCGACACATGAAATCCTTATTAGGGTCTCAAGATGCTTGGAAGATTGTAGAAAAAGGTTATGATAAACCCAAGATGAGGTTATTTTATCACAAAATGAGAAAGATGCTTTGATGAAGCAAAAGAAGAAAGATCAATAAACACTTGCATTTATCCATCAAGGCTTAGATAAAGCTATGTTTGAGATTGTGTTCAATGCAACTACATCTAAAGAAGCTTGGAAAATTTTAAAAACAAACCATTAACAGGTTGACAAAGTAAAAAATATGATACAAACTCTACGATGAGAGTTTGATCCTTGCATATGAAAGAATCCAAGCTATTTTAGATTTTGGTAATAGAGTAATGGTTGTTGTAAACCAAATGAAATGATATTAAGAAAAGGTGGAAGATATTCGCATAATAGAAAAAAATATTTCACTCCTTAACCACAAAGTTTGACTATGTGGTTTGTTCTATTGAAAAGTCCAAATATTTAAACTCGATGTTTATTGACTAGTTGATGGGTTCTCTTCAAGCCTATGAAGAGAGATTTAATCAAAGGCAAGAAGAGCGTTTGGAGCAAGTCCTTAAAACCAAAGTCTAAGTGGAGGAGAAAAAAAATCAAAGAGGCCATAGATGTAAAAGAAAATGTGGTTGTGGCCAAATAAAAAGGAGGAAGAGAAGATCTAATAATTTTGACAATAGAGATTATTATCAACCCACTAGAAGTTGTGGAAAAGGAAGAGACAAAGATATTTTGGTAGGACAAATGAAAGGAGGTATAGTAAATCTAATGTTGAATGTTTCAATTGTCAAAAATATGGTCATTACGTTTGAGAGTGTAGAACAAATGTTGAAAAGAAAGCCTACCTTAATGGAGAGAAAGAAGAAGATGAAGAGCCAACATTATTGCTAGCACTTAAGAATGAAGAGAAGGGTGACAAATGCTTATGATATCTTGACAATGAGCAAGTAATCACATGTGTGGTTATAGGGAAAAATTTGTGGAGCTTGATGAGGAAGTGAAAGAGAATGTTTCCTTTGGAGATTCTTCCAAGGTGCAAATTCAAGGAAAATGTACCATTTTAATTTCTTTAAAAGATGATACTCACAAAATTATCATGAATGTTTAT